TTTATACCCACATCAGTTTGAAGAAAATGGTACTCTTTAGTATTGATTTGAATATGATGGGCTATTTTTGGCTATTTCTTTTTTGTAATCTTTGAGAGCTCTTAGTTACACGAAACTTGATTCAGGATTGGAAACATAAAAAAAGAGACACAAATCAAGGTTTATAAAATCCTTTTTCTTGCAGGAGCCCAGATGCCACGACAGTATGGGCTATGTTTAGTTTTCTTGTTCTGAGGACTGACAATAACTTGAGCATTGGCACAAAAGATTGACCCAAAATCTGAAAAACACTTCATATTTCACTGAGAGAAAGGGACAAGATAATGATGCAGACAAGTGGTTCACTGATAATGTGTCCTCCAACAGCCGTGATGGTAAAAATTTCACTGCTCTTTCACAATTACAACTTCAAAAACTTCCTACAAGATGAACAACAGCTCTGCCTCCTGAATAAAACAGTTCCCGGCTCTCTTTATGTTTATGTGTCTCAGTTATGCTGAAATTCACACTGCTCACACATGTCCTTTTTTCTGTCTCTTGGGATAAACTCTGGTGAAAACACCAAATGTACACGATTCAGCTCCACCTACATCAACACATTTTAAAGCTACAAATTTATGATTTGGGGGTTTCCTGTTTCTTTTTTTTTTTTCTTCTTCTTTTTTTTTAAACTTGCAGTGCAGCAGCCATATGATTTAGAGCTAGAAACCACCACACTGTCCCTGTAATCTGAGACTATTTGTCTTCCTGTGAACTGCATTATATACCTATAGATAAGTGCTGTATAAATGGTTATTATATAGATTTATAGGGAAACATGTTATCCAACCAGGATGATACAGTCCCATAATTTGTCATTGACTGTGACATGCACACCATGTGTTTGTTCTGTGCTCGTAGGAGCTGAACATGGGCCAGAGGTGCTCTGATACCAGAGGCATCACCTTTGAGGATGTGAGGATACCGAAAGAGAACGTCCTGATCACAGAGGGAGCTGGCTTCAAAATTGCCATGGGTGCCTTTGACAACACAAGGCCACCGGTAAGTCTTTTAACTGTAACTGAATTGGACTGAACATCGGTCCAAACAGGAAATTGTTGGTGATAATTTCAAATATTTGAAATGGATCAGAGGGTCGATGTGGGTCAATCAGTCTTATTTGGCCTTATTTAAATTACTTTTAAGAATTGAACATCATCACAACATCACTTTGGTCTGAATATGAGATGATAGTTTTGTTCTAGCAATTCGAAAGGTTTGAAAAAGTGGGGGTTGTCTTATAATCGAGGACTCTTATGAGTGTTGCACTATGGGTTATTTGTAGCCTTAATGTTGTTAGGCAAGTGAGTGTTTTCAAGTCTGTTTATAGTGAGTCTCTGAGAGTCATTCCTCAAAGGGTTTCATTTGACCAGTTTAACCTGCAGGAGAGTCTGGAGACTGGTTTGATGTGTTTAGCTGCCAAAAAGGAAATAAATTCACAACAACTGAAAACGAGTTTGGGGTGTCTCCGACGTCATTAAGAAGCAGAAAAAATCTGTCAAACAGCTAAGAATTACAGCTGCCACAGATCACAGCTCAAAGTATGAAACAAATTATCCACACAATAATAAAAAACTGTGTGGAAAAAACACAAAACTCATGTGTAATTCGATTTGTCACTGCTGATTTGTGTCTATCATGTTTACTAATGTAATTAATATATTTCAGGTGGCAGCAGGAGCAACAGGCCTGGCACAGAGAGCACTCGATGAAGCTACCAATTACGCACTGGAGAGGAAGACCTTCGGCAAAGTTATTGCTGAGGTTTGTTCTCACAGATCTTCATGTTCTTATGAGTCACATGCAGAAAACCACATCACTGGCAGTCATAAGCTAACACATCCCATTTTGACTTACAGAATTTACTCTGAAATGCTACTGTATCTGTCATGACAACTGCACTTTTAACAGTGAGTTGTCAAAGATGAGTGCAGGATCAACAGGCCCCCTCTGTCTCCTCCTGTTTCACAGCACCAGGCCGTCTCGTTCCTCCTGGCTGAGATGGCGATGAAGGTGGAGCTGGCCAGGATGGCGTACCAGCGGTCAGCCTGGGAAGTGGACCAGGGCCGCAGAAACACCTACTACGCCTCCATCGCCAAGGCCTTCGCTGGAGACATCGCCAATCAGGTGGCCACTGACGCTGTTCAGGTGTTTGGAGGCAACGGGTTCAACAGCGATTACCCAGTCGAGAAGCTGATGAGAGACGCCAAGATCTACCAGGTGGGTGATGACGTTGTGCACCTAATGACTGCTAGCGGAGGTGTTACATGGCAAAACCTAATTTTCTTAAATTTTTCTTTCCTTTTTCAGATCTACGAGGGAACGGCTCAAATCCAAAGACTCATTATTGCCCGAGAACATCTGGGAAGATACAAGAAATGAACTCCGGACTTGACCTCATTCAAATGCAGTTTGTTGTAACTTTTCTAAACATATATACGTGTTACTGGAAATAGATCTGGTTGCTTAAACTCAGGATATAGAGCAAAATGTTGTTTGCCTTAATGCCATTTCATCCTGCCTTGCTTCTTCAGACTGATCCAGGCCCTGAACCGACAGCAGTCTACACAGCCTTTGAAATAATGCCATAATTCATTCAGTTTACTGTTTAATGGAGCTATCAGGTGTCATTAAGTCACTAGATATCACATGACCATGTCCTGTTAACCTGGTATTTGCATTCAGGTGATCATCTCCCACTTGTAAATATATCACATGGAAATAAAGTCCTCTACAGGTTGTTAACAATGGCAGCCAAACACAAACTCCACTGCGTTTGCTATCAGCCAGGGTACGTTGTTAATTCCAGGGCATTACAGTAAAATCCTGTATTTATTTAACATTCGCCTGGTACACTGTTTGCCAGCTGTCCATCATATGTTTAACTGTGAAGTTGTTTGTATCTGGTGGGGTGAGATGGGGAGGAGGAGCAGGTCCAGCCTGGCTTTCAGCCTTACACTATGTGTGTTGCAACACTTGAATATAGTGTTGATTTTGTTCTTATTCTCCATTCTGATTGACAGTAAAATCAAAGATAATAGCAAAGTTGATGATGATGATGCTGATGTCCAGTTCATGCCTTATTCTGCCTCTGACATCCTGCCAGATAATGACATAGTTGTAGTTTTTGGCTGACTTTCTGCACTCATTCAAAATATTAAATCAACAAAATGATTCCTCAGACAATGGATGTAATGCTCTTTTCTCAAACAGTAAAACCAGTTTTATCTTGATCTGTACAAGAATGTGTCAGACATAGGAATGTGCCTAATGATTTAACAACTGTAAAACTGCATGTTGTCAGAAAATGGTTATCTGCCTGATTTAGCAAGTAATCCTCAACTGTTGCAGTTCAATATAACAATAGCACCGATATGAAATATAGAGGCATCAGCTTTACACATAACCATGGAGAATCTCCACAAATGTAGAGAATGGATGTAATATGTAGGCTGTGGTTCAGGTGTCACTGTAGAATTACTGTTTGACATCATTCATGACATAATGATAAATTCACCTGAAGCTTTTCAGTTTGTACATCATCCATTTATTAAATTATTCCTTTCAATCTAGAAATGATCATGATTTTTTGTTCCTTTCTTTTTGTGGAAATTAATAGTGGAAATAAAAAATGTGTTCTCTGATTTCATTTTGAAGTTGGATGAACCAAGAAAACCATAACCAACTAGCAATCTGTGTAATTGTGGAGTTGGCTCACAATAAGCGTCATTAATTGTGCAGGTCAGTGTCACAGTCTGCACACTGCACAGTAGAGGAAGAAGACGTTATCCGCAGTAGAATAAGGACCTGGGGTCTCAGCATTGGAAAGGCCCTCAAAAAGCCAATCTTGACCCCATATGGATAGGGGGGGGGGTGCTGAGTCGGCCCGGCTGACTTCAGTGGAGTAATTAAATATTTTGTTAATTCAACTTCAAAATTGCAATATATAATATTATTTGTACATAAAATGACTAAGTCATGACACATTTTGTTGTTTTAGTAAATATTAAACATTAAGCAACCTGTTAATTTTATGTCATATAAAAGATAGTTAATTAGTAATAATAATAATAATGATAACATTTAATTATAAATAATAAACAATAATCGAGTAAATATTGTATGTTGTAGAACTAAATGCTCAAAACTTTTGTCGTGTGAAAACAAGTTCTATTAAACTGACATGAATTTCCAGTCAGACAAGAGTCATGTGAAACAGTTACGTATGTTGTGTGAGGTGTACTCATTACTTTATTGTTACTGTACTAAACTAAAGGTTTTGTATGCAAGCTGTCTCCAATAAACTTTTAAGTTGAGTGATCAAACTGGGATTTACAGTGCAGTGAAGATTAGTGTTGAAAAAAGAGGCAAAGGTGCAACAGATTAGGGTGGAGGAAAAAGTCTCATGCTGAGGCAGTTAAATTGGCAGGACAGAAAAAAACAGAATAAGGAGGGAAGATGTAACAAAGTGGCAGCGAAAGAAGAGCAAAATAAGAATGCATGGATAGAGAAGAAGAAATTGGTGAGATCAAATTTAAAAGAGACAGGATTCAGATAATTGTCAGAGCTGCAGAGCACCATTTGGACCATTGTGATGGGTTTAAGAAGTAAACCATGAACTCATGATACAGTCAAGAGACAACATGTGTGGGTTGATAATACTAATAATTACAATTCTTCAGTGGAATGTGAGAAACCTGATTGCTAATAGCAAAATTTTATAGGAGAGAAAAAACATACACTCTTTCAAGTAAGGAAATGGTGATTTTGTTTTTTAAGGACGACTGGAGTGGAGAGACGGATTTCAAATGATTGGACAGTGAGGGAGAATAAAACTGTAGGTGGCAGTAATGCAGCATCGTGATGCTAACTTCCATAAAACATCGAAGAAGAATTGATACTCTTGTCCACACACGAAGCAGAAGGTGGCGGTAATGTACCTCGTTCCAACCGCCATTTAACAAGAAGAAGAAGAAGAAGAAGGCGGAGGAAGCAAAGAAGAAACTATCATGCGACAATTTTCAGAATGGTAACCAGCATATTGTTGTAAATTTATTTGATAGTAGGTTTATTTTAAGATAACATTATAGCGGAAGTGGGTTTGAAGGTCCGCTTGTCTCCAGACTGTCCAAATTTAACTGCAAATGTGTGAAAGCTGCAAGTTAAATGGCTAAAATGTAACTAGCATCAGTGTTAGCATGTTGCTTGCCGATAGCACAGCCTGTCAACAACCAATATTTATTTCATTCAGTCAGTTAGACGCATAATATGAATTTATTCAGTGTCAGGTTTTCATAGTGAAAGGATGGGGTTATCAGTTTATCAAAGTGTAACTAGGTCAGTTTGAAATTGTGGTCTGTTTTCACTGTTTTGTGTATGTGTGTTTCATGTCAGGGTACCCAAGTGAAAGATGTCATCATTAAGCCTGACGCTCCCAGCTCACTGTTGTTGGACAAACATGCAGACTACATCGCTGCCTACGGCTCCAAAAAAGATGACTATGTGAGTGTTTTTTATTTTTTTATATTAATATCTACCCTGGACACTCTGACCACTTACATTTCATATATTTTCACACAAATAAGTGAACTAAAAACGAAGAAAGAACATAACAGTTGAATCAAAATTAGATGTGCAAGATATGAATAAATACTCATAAGTAAGGCTGCAATGAACAATATTTCTTTCTTTGTGTTTGTCTAGGAGTACACGCTGTCTGAGTACCTGAGGATGAGCGGTATCTACTGGGGGCTGACAGTGATGGACCTGATGAGCCAGCTGCCCCGCATGAACCGTGAGGAGATCATAGACTTCATCAAATCCTGTCAACATGAGTGCGGAGGTATCAGCGCCAGCATCGGACACGACCCCCACCTGCTCTACACCCTTAGCGCTGTCCAGGTGACTCCGCAACTGTCAACATTAACTTTGACAGATTAGTATTTATTCTTGTTCTCTCAGCAACTTTCATACTGTGATAGGTTGGAAGTAGGGCTGCAACTAACAATTGTTTTCATCAATTCATCTGTGGCTTCTTCACTCAATAAGTTTAGTAGGTGCTAGTCTATAAAGTATATACAATGTCATAAAATTAATTGAAAAATCACATCACAGATTCCAAAAGCCTAATGTGACGTCTAGTTTTCACAGTACAAAACTCAAAAATACTATCACAGAATACTAAGGAAAACAAAATATATACACATTGGAGAAGCTGGAATTCTGTGTTAAAATAACCATAAACAATTTATTGATCATCAAAATAGTTGCTGATAAATTTTCTGTCAATGGACTAATTGTGAAATCTCCAGATGGAATTGTTGCCAACGAAAAAGACAATACTTATCTGTGATTTGAATTTTATGAGATGTCATGTTCTTTACGATTAATCAAATAAGCAGAGCGGAGAAAGCAGAAATATATTTTCATTGATTTTAATCCTGAATGACAGAACTTTAAAATCAGTGAAGTGCCATTAATTTTTATTTTCATTTCCCCTGAACAGAGCTGCAATGATTAGTCCATTAATCAATTAGATAATTATCGTTAAAATAACTGAACTCTTTTGATAATCAACTGTTAAAGTAATTTTTGAAGCAAAAATGCCAAAGATGTGTTTTAAGCCTCTAAAATATTAAGATTTTCTGCTTTTCCCTGTTTCATGTCTCTGGGTTTTAGATTGTAAATGGACAACACAAAACATTTGAAGCTGTCACCATGAACATGAATATTTTTTTACTATTTTGGGAGATTAATGCAGAAAATAATTGGCAGATTAATCAATAATGAAAATAATTGCTAGATGCTGCACTATGTTAGAATCTCCGCACTGACATTTTCTAGTAATTTCAGTGATTATACCATTTATGTCACTCTCTTGAGCTGCCTCATTGTCTGTGGTTTTTAAAAGGTTTTTTTTTTTTCTCCTGAAGGATCTTTATGATTAAAGTGATGTTTTTATTTACCTCTTCTGTTAGTATCAGGTTTGTAAATTAACCGAATTGCTCTGTAAACCTTGTGTGTTTTCTTTACTGCTTTTTCACTTTTATTAATTACAGTATTTTAAAAAAAAAAAAAAACCCTCCCCAGATCTTGTGCTTATATGACAATGTAGACGCGATTGATGTGGACAAAGTGGTGGAATACGTCAAAGGGCTGCAGCAGGAAGACGGCTCATTTGCAGGAGACAAATGGGGTGAGGAGGGTTTATTCTGATTTATGTTGTCTCAAGTAACATTTTCTCCTTAAATGGAAAAAAAAGTAACAAGAATTTTAGTACAGTAGATGACATAATTGGCAGTGTCAGCGCACACTTTTTATATCCAAATTGAGAACGCACATCTTTTCAAATATATTTATTCAAATATACAACTTAGGACTTACAGCTGAAATCTCAGTAAAGGAAGTATAGGAGTTGTCCTTTATGTATATTATAGTTTGCTTTAAATATAATAAATAAAATAAATAAATACTATAAATACTACAATGTTTCATATAGTGACAGTTTTTTGTCTTTACAGGAGAAATAGACACAAGGTTTTCCTTCTGTGCTGTCGCTACACTTGCATTACTGGTATGTGTACGACCTTTGCAAAGGTTTTTATCATAAAGCACATCCACAACAGTAATTTAAAGGTGTCTCTTGCTCCTCTGTTCTTTCTAAGGGTAAGATGGACAAGATAAATGTTGACAAAGCTGTAGAGTTCGTCTTATCCTGTATGAACTTTGATGGAGGTTTTGGCTGCAGACCCGGTTCAGAGTCTCACGCTGGTCAGGTGAGTCCACTGCTGTACTCGTAGAGAGTGAGACAAATGTTGTGAGAGTTTTACTTTTGTTCAACCATTTTTAAACAGAGGCAACAAGTTAAAACTAGAAGTAAAATGTAATAAATCGGGTGTTAAGTTTCCACATAGCATCAGGCATTTAAGTCATTATTCACACATCACAAATGTGAGGCTGCAGGCAGGTCTCGTAGGAGGGAGGCTGACTCAGCTAAAAGGCTGTCAGTCCTTGATGGAAACGGGAGGAACTGTTCTGATTCTTGAAGGTGGCTGCTATTACATTTACACCCCCATGAGCGATGTCATGTATTAAAATCCTTCTCAAATAATAATGTTCTTTTCCCTTCGGTCTGTCAGATTTACTGCTGCACCGGTTTCTTGTCGCTCACCGGTCAGCTGCACCAGGTGAATGCCGACCTGCTGGGCTGGTGGCTCTGCGAGAGGCAGCTGCCGTCCGGGGGCCTGAATGGACGACCTGAGAAGGTTTGTGCTTGACGGATGTTGTTCTGAGAAATCAGACGCCAGCTTGTCGGCGTATAATGTTTTAGTTCTGCTGCTTTGATGGTTCATAGTCTCCAGTGTTGGGAATAGATTTTTCTTCATGTTGGGAGAGTTTTAACATAAATGTGTCTAGTCTCAGGGGAAATTGAGTCTCTTCATTTCAATCAATCACAGTTGTAAATAAAATACATCTACCACTTTACATTATTTCACTGCTTCTGGCTCTAATGTTTTTTATTCCTCATACAGTATTGAACACATAACTGCATGTAAGATAAATAAAATGTATGAAGGAAACATAAACACACACCAGAGGAATCCTTACTACACATTTCACACCCTCCTGATCAATGCTGCAGAGTTTTATATTTTGTTTTCCTCTCTGTGCCTTAGCTGTTAGTGCTGACCTCTTTGTAAAGTGTATTTCTCAACACCAGTTATTCTCAACAAGACTTACATTAAAAAGACAATGCAGGCCATATATAGGTAATAATATCTGTAGATGATTTTGGTTTGAATTATTACACCTAACTACTGCAAAATATATTGTAACTGCTAGTTACGTTTTCTTCGCTCCACTCAGCTTCCAGATGTGTGCTACTCATGGTGGGTGTTGGCGTCGCTGAAAATCATCAGCAGGATTCACTGGATCGACAAGGCCAAGCTGCGGATGTTTATTCTGGCCTGCCAGGACGAGGAGACGGGAGGTTTTGCTGATAGACCAGGAGACATGGTGAGCTGTCAAACACAACACCACTAAAATCCGTGTGTTGCCATGGAAAGAAAACCTGTCATTTCTCAAAATCACGTCTCTTGTTTTATCTGTAATCATCTCTCTGTACCCTGAGCCTTTTTTTACCCTCCCCTGCCCTCTTTAGTTTTCCTCAGCCGTACACACAGATCCTATCCTTTGTCTCTCTGTCTCATACACTGAAGATAAAAGTTATCTTACAGTAGATACACAGGGAGCTCCCTCAGTACTGGAATGCTTGAAAGTGTTTAGATAAAAAATTTATAAGTTTTAAAAAGTCTGGAAGATACTGTGCTGATGCATTTGATAGGGCTCAGTATTTTTAGTTTTATACTGAATATTAAACTGAAACTTCATCAGCAGAAAACTGCAGAAAATAGAGCAATCCTTATCTGTTTTTCCTAATTTACATAAACGGCGTCAGGACAACAACTATTTATATTCATCTCTGGTTAATCGGCACAATATTTCCCTATTAATCAATTAATAGCTTGGTCTAAAAATGCCGAAAAAATAATGAAAAGTCTGAATTTTCATTTTGTTTTGTCAGAGCAAGCATCCAGAACCGAAGGTTTTCAGTTTATTATGATAGAATACAAAGACAATAAGCTTACATTCACATTAGAGAATATGAAACCAGCCAGTTATCGGTACACCAGTTTTCTTAATTACATTTTTTAAAAAAAAACAGGCTGCTGCTTCCATTCCACATTTCCCACCATTTAAGCCCATTAATAAGATGCAGATTGTGACATTTTACATCCTGAAAGCCTGTGCCACAATGTTTTCTCACAGCGTATCATAACAACGCAGTAGTGGTTGACAACATGCAACTCTCTTTTTTTTTTTTATATATATATCTCTGGTTCTCATTAACCCTCCCTCCTCTCTGCAGGTGGATCCTTTCCACACTCTGTTCGGAGTTGCAGGTCTCTCTCTCCTCGGAGATGAACAGATCAAGCCGGTGAATCCCGTACTGTGCATGCCGGAGGACGTCCTGCAGAGGATCGGACTGCAGCCGGACCTCCTCAGCTAGCCCCCTGACACCCATCATCCCAACATCCCACATTCATACATACACACACTCAACTACCACCTCCGGATGTTGGGAGCAGAGAGAGAAGTACCACACATCGTAGTGTTAGCTGAAGTCTACAGACACATTTTAGATGCAGGTGTCAGTCTCCGCTCACTAAGGACAAAAAGCGTAATGCAGTTCTGCAGCTCATTCCCTCTGAACCTTTCTGTCTTTAAACCCTCAACCGCTCGTTATGTTATCAAGTTGGTTTTCTTGGATTCGATTGAGAGATGGTTTAGACAGTTTTTGAAGGAATGAGGAAAAGATGTTTTGAAGTGTAACCGTCGTTACAACAGCACAGAAATCATGAAACTACATTCCTCTACTTTTGTTCACATATGTCAGTTTGAGGGAAAACTAAACTGTTAGCACAAGAAACAGTTTGGAAATGTCTCTCTCTGGTCTTTTTCTTGCTCTCATCACCTTTTCAGCTTGTCAACTAGCCAAGGAAGTTATTATTATCTTTATTGTCATTTTTCTGGCCGGAGACGGGAAGAAGTGCTGATTTCTTCCTCCTTTTGTTCTACTATGCTTTATTATCATCTTTGTTACTTGAATAACAGGAATATTCAGTTTTACTTGACATGTTTGACCTTGAGAGCGTAGAAGGACTATGTGTGGGAGAAGATCAGCCAAATTCAGCTGAAAAGTGAAAGTTAGGTTTATCATTTCATAAGACACTTGACTGTTTGTTATTGATTTGGTTTAAAGGCACCACTTCTCTTTGTCTGCCTTTACCTGTTTCAAATAAAATAACTTCCATAGTTGAAAAGTGAGAGCATGACAAGGGCGAACTATCCTCATCCTGTTTACGCTAGAGCAGTCACACCAACACTACTAATAATACCTCTCACAACTGGAGATGCAACACGGGACGTTTTTGTTCATGTTACTGCATTAGAATAACCTCAATTTAACAATACAGAGACCATTATTTTGGCAAGCATTGACGGAAGGAGACACCCAGAGCAAAAACACATGGCGTTGTCTCTTGCCAAGTATATTTAACATCTTATCCACAGTCTCAGCTGCGCTATTTATTTAAATCCTTGCTACTCAGTCCAGCATTGTAATGTAGCTGTGGGCAGAGGGTTAGGTTTGCCCTCACACTGTGTGAAGAAATGTTTCCAGTTTTATGTTCAGATGATTCTGAACAGAATCTGTGAAATGGCTTTTTGGAAAATTTAATTTAAGGTTATTTTTCTTTCAGGAATACCTGATTTTCATTGTGCTGCACTCATGTTGTCTCACTGAATGCACATATGTTTCTGTTTTCCGTTCTAGCAGAGAGTAAATAAATCACACAGTTCAGTCAGTTCTCAGAATTTGAATGACTGGGCAACACTTTATTTTGCATTTCTAAGTCATATATAAACATTTAATACATGGTATATAACACTGTAATGTAGTGGTGCGCAGATATGTATTTCTTAATGAATTTGCACCCGTAAGTGGAGGCCCACAGGGTAATGAAGGACGGTAGTACAACACAGTTGTGAAAATATAAAATGTCTTCATAGGGGAAGTTATACTGTAATAATCACTTACAATGTCCTTAAAGCTGAGTACAACTACATTATAGTGTTATAAACCATTTATTAAATATTTGTGTACTACTTATAAATGTTGAGTGAAATGTTACCAATGATGGACAACTAAACAGAAATGTATTAGTTTATTTATGCAAAATTACAGCAAAGACATTACCTAAACAAAAGCTTATATTGTGGTAATAGGATTTAAATTACAATTCTTAATGAATTGTTCTGCTTAAAGATTTTTTTAAAATCTTAACAATAAATTAAAACCTTAACTGTGTCCTAAACCACGTGTTCAACTACCAGGTCTTATCTATGTGTTGTGGGGGCAGCGCTGATCCAAAAAGCTGCTGACTGATGCACATCTAGATGTAAATTATTTGTTATCTCGGTTGGCAATAAATGTATGATTTCTCCTCAGCTGTGATTCTGTTTGTTTCTGCACTAAGAGACTCTGGAGCATTTAACAAACACTGTGTGAATTAACTGTTATCAAGCAAAGAAAAATGGGGCTCTGTTTATCAGCAGCTCACTCCCACTGAGATCAGGGATCTAGTTTTTTTTTTTTTTTTTCAAGAACTAATCAAGGCAGCAGCCAGTTAGTCGATTAACATGGTGGATGTGATTGCTTTTTATCTGCATCTGCCTGCTTGTATATGTCGTTTTAATCTAATTAAATTGGCTTGTTAGCTTTCGTTTAATTGTGTACAGAAGTAAAATGCCAAGTTCAAGTGTGGCACGATTAGAGCCGAAACAATGGGTTGATTAATTGACAGAAAATTAATGCAACTATTTTGATAATGGAATTAATCATTGGAATCATTTATGAAGCTAATATACAAAAAAAAAAGCTTGTTTCCCCTTCTCCAGTGTGAAGATCTTTTGTTTTATTTAATTGCAAACTTGATATTTTGGGCTTTTGGACAAAAAAGATATTTGAGGACATCAATGGTAGAGATGCCCAATGGTGGACATTTATTGCAGTTTTATAGACTAAACAACTTGAGGATTAAACGTTCTGTAAATTAGATTTTAAACACTAATACAGCAGTAAACAAATATTTCTTATGTGGAGATATAGAGGAGTAATAATGTCCTGTGCAGAGAACTGTCATTCCTCTGAAGGAGTTGTAATGTGTGTCTCTCTCTTCTTCGTTTTGGTATCCAGTCAGGCAGGGCTTGCATGTTAGTGCTTGAGTCCCTTCTGTTAAACCATCAGCCCTCCCTACTTTTAAACACACAAAGGGGCCCCTGACACAGAGACGGGCAGTGCGGTCTGCAGTGTTGAGGTGAAAGCTACTTTCCAGAATTTCCTTCACTGAATAAACCACTTTTTTTTCAAAAAAAACCTCTGACAAAGAAAGATACAAGACTAGGAGCACAGGCAGACAGACCACTGGATTCAAAGAACAAGTGAGTACCACTAGATGGCAGCCTTACCATTTAAAATCCATTGATCATTCAAAAGCAAATATAAAGTAAGAAACTGATCATGCTAAAGCAAAAAAATGTTTTATTATGTATGTCATTTAAGTCACTGAAATATGTATAAATGTGGAACCAAAATGAGATGGAAATTAAATTTAAAGCTCTTATTTTCAGGAGTTGTTTTGGCTAATTATATACTGTATATGTTGAAGACCAAGAAAAACTTAATATGCAAATATTTACATTTCAGGAGCTGGAACAATTGAATTTTGGGCATATTTGCCTTTAAAAAAATTTCTTAAAACGAATTAATTGTTTCAGCTGAAATATTCTGACCATTCAAAGCAATATATATTACTTAAAAAATTTTTTTTTTAACCTTTTCTCATTTATTTTACATCCTACGTCACATCCACACTGATTCATGCTGTGGAGGCTGTAGTAATAATGCTTGCACTCCACAAAATGCCACGACTCTTACTGTGCTAGAAATTATGTTTCTAAGCAGTGGCAGATGGTAATAATGGAGCCACATAAAGATTGATGCTCTCCGCCTGAGTAATTAGAGCCAGGTAATTCTCTCCTACCTGTTTTCCTACACGTAATAAAGATAAGGACTTTCTCTGCATTGTACAGCCTGATAAGAAAATGACACTTTACCTGGAACAATGTCTAACAATTGCTTTCATAAAATGTCAGACTAATGATAAAGCGATAACAATAACTATGCGGAACATTATTATCTTCATGCACTAATTAATGCATCATGATAGTGGAAGACTCGGTACGCTTTATTGCTCTCATGCACTTCTGGATTCCTGCTCAGACGTGGGTTCAGTAACTTTTAGGAACTGAAGAAAATTTTAAACATAGGGGGGCACATGTGTAAACTGAGCAAAGTGTGTTATGACTCATTTAAAGCCCTGGTTCTTCTTCTTCTTCTTCTTCTTATTATTATTATTATTATTAATAATAATAATAATAATAATAATAAAGTGCTCATCATTAACAGCTATGTTATTTATTCATGGTAATAAATGAGTGACAAACAAGCAGTTTGAAATGTACTAATATGAAATACAATCAATAAATAGCTGCTTTTTGTAACACAGACAGATTTTGGTGGTGGGTTCCTCCACAGGAGCAAGACACCCAGAGCCTGAAAGAGACACTAAACTACTACAAATGATGCAGGTCCCTTTTTTGATTGTTTTGCATTTCTCTGTCTTTTTTGCATTATTTTGCGATCATTTGTATCTTTTTGGGGTCATTTGTGTATTTTTGTGTGTATGTTGTATCTTTTGGGGTTGTTTCGCTTCTCCCTGTGGTGGTTTTGAATCTCACTGTAGCCGTTTTGCATCTCTTTGTAGTTGTTTGCAGTCATTTTGCATCTCTTTGTAGTTGTTTTGCATCTTATTGGTTTTTCTGTGTGTTTTTGTGTAGCCAGTTTATGGCCACAAATATGGTCAGTTTGCTTCTCTTTGTGGCCTTTTTTCATATCTTTTTGTGATCATTTTGTGCCTCTTTGTTGTTTAATTGACTTTCCAACGAGAAATGTTGACTTCATCCTGAGGTTCTGGTCCAGGGCTCCAGGTCCTGTACCTGGTAGACCTGTTCAGTAATCCATCCATGATACTAACTTGGCTGGGTGTCATCCATGTCACCCCTGGCCACACCTCTGTTCCTGCTGTATGCATTTTTAATCATGTGATATTCTCAGTGCAGCGTGGACCTGCTAGAAATATACTGGCAGCCCTGTGAGTTTTGTATTTATTTGTCTATTTATTTAGTCGATGGGGGAGCAGTAATCTGTGGGCCCCTGGAGTCTGGGCAGAGAAAAACATGCTGGTTGTTAGGCTACTGTGAAACCCCACCGGCTCTCATTAGTGAGGAAGAGAGAGATGAAGAGGAAGACAGAAGGTGGAAGAGAGGAAAAAGGAAAAATGTGAGTGAGAGATAAAGGCAGAGAGGGGGAAACCAGACAGAGAAGAAGAAGCGGAGAGACAGCTGGATAGAACGCAGCTTTCACCTCTCAGTCTTTTTGTTTGTTTGTAAGGAAAGCCACAACCCATTTTTCCTCCCTCTCCTCTTCTCACTTGCGTCACCCTCTTGTTATCTCTCAGCACAAAATACCGAGGATTAGTCCAGGCCACGGGGGCTGCAGCCAAATGCTGTTGAACCACAGGCAGAGCAGACAATCACTTAATAAATGTTTAATTAAAACCGCTGTTGTATGTGAGAGTGGAGATGACTCATGAGTTTGGTGGAAAATGGAATATACTTTTGAAAAGTAGACACAAGAGATTCCTGTTGTACCTTTCACCCAGTTTGTGGTTATTATCAGGGACACAGCGTGACATGTTATTATTTACTCCCAACAGCTCCGGCAAGGTCTGATTTTACAGCACAACACTCTGGCGTGGACTGGAGGCTCTTGTTAGGAGAGAGTTTATTTCCACTGAATTCATAATTTACTTCATGTCACTGTGGAGATTTTTGGACCATCAAGTTACCACAGTTTCTGCTGACAGCAAAGTTGTTGCTTTGGTCAAATCTGCAGTGTCTCCTGACACACCTGTCACATAGAAATATAGATTTTCAGTGCTTTGGTTGAAGTGGAAGATCAGCTGGGGACCATGATCTCACAACCAACTCTATAAAACAGGAGTCCAGAGCTGAAGAAAAATAAAACTCCTCAAAAAACAAATTGATCACTGAGATCTGCTGAAGCCACACGGGTCTTCTTCTGTCTGTGA